GTACAATATTTTCCTTGGGGCGCACCTATTAAAAATATTAAAAATAAATTTTCGATAAAATATAATAACCAAAATGCCTTTTGAAACTTTCACAGGTATTTTGGTCATTTTATTTTATTGAAAATATTTTTTTTTATATTTTTCACTAGTGCGAGTTTAATAGAGGATTGGACTTCCAAAATTTGATATAAAAATAGTATATAAAAAATAATTAAAAATAAAATTGCGTAAAGATGTGACATTGTGATTGGGGCAATCTTAACCCTCAATTCAGAATGGACGGTTGGATAAAAAGAAACACTTAAATTTTATGCTGTAGGAAAAGCATAAAAAGCTTGCCCTATAGTCAAAACCAAGTATCCATTGAAACTTATAGTTTCCAGTTTGGACTTTAATAAAAGAAAAAGAAGAAGAACTTATGATTGTAAATCCAAACATAGGGTTGGCAATATGGGCGACCAAGGCAGCCCCATCAGCGGGGCCCTAAAAAAAAAGTAGGGCTTGGACGTCCTGGCCTGGGACCATTGCCAGCTCATTCGGCCATGATCAGGCCTGCTCTTTTTATTTTATTTTTATTTATTTATTTATTTAAATCTTCATGTTTTTTAGCCCAACCTAGCCCCTACCAGGCTCCCACCCTTTATTCCCGAACTTCATTAAATAAAAAAAAAAAAAATTACTTGGAGAAGTAACGATGAGTTTATCGTGCATCATGAAACACACTGCCGTCTTCTCTATTCCTCGGAATTTCCTCCGCCTCCTGAGTTTCCAAACACCTGACATGATTCCTTTCTCAAAATTAAAAACCAACCCATTTTCCACCCCCTCTTTCTGCTGCATGCAGAAAAAGATATGCATCTAAACAAAACCTCCTCTTTTTCCTTCTCTCTCAAAAACTAAACCCCCTCTTTCCTCTCTCTCTTTCGAAAATCTCCCCCCCAAACTCCCGTCTTCCTCTCATCCATGGCTAAATCCTCGTTCTCTCTCTTGATTATATTCTCCCTCTTCTTTCTCTCTCTAAACCCTGTCAAAGCAGATTCAGTCCATGAATTGCTGCAGAGCAAGGGTTTACCTGCTGGTCTTTTGCCCAAAGACGTGAAATCGTACTCTCTTGAAGACGATGGACGCCTCGAAGTTCATCTTGATCAACCCTGTTACGCCAAATTCGACGGGATGGTTTATTATGATCGAGTAGTTCGGGGGAACCTCAGCTATGGCGAGCTTACTGGAGTTGCAGGTTTCTCTCAAGAAGAGCTCTTTCTGTGGCTTCCTGTCAAGGGTATCAAGGTTAGAAACCCCGATTCTGGTGTTATTCTCTTTGATATTGGGGTGGTTCATAAGCAGCTCTCGTTCTCTCTCTTCGAGGACCCTCCGGATTGTAGGCCAGAGGTCAAGCAATCGTTGAGGCTCATATCAAGTTCCGTTTTCTCTCTCTAGTTTTTCCCCTGTTTTAGAGGTATTTTAGGGTGTAATCATGGTGCTATCTTGTTCTTTGATGGAGAGTTTGTGGTTTTAGGGTTTATGTGATGGGGAGGTTTATGTGATGGGGTTTCATATTCTTGTTTAAAACCCTAAACTGGGTTCCTAAATTCAGAATCGGATGACTCACCTCGTTTCTTTATTTTTTCCCTTCAGTTTAGATGATCGAACTTGCTCTGTTTTTCTTAATGAAATAACATATACACCCAAATATATATTTTTTTGAAATATTTCCTTTGATATATATTCCTTTTGTTTTATGGAATCTATTAATGAAGTTGTTCTTGATTTCCCAGTTTCTTATTTGGGTTTCTTGCTTTTGTTCCTTTAAACCTGCATGGGTTTTTTTGATCTATTACCTGTACCATAACTGCTCTGATTTTGATGCAAATTTATCTTCTTTGCAGATGATTTGTTGGGTAAGATTGACAAAAATCAGGAGGAGTATACTAGTATCAAGGCGGGCTGATTTGGGTCGTTACACTTCAAAACTAGGAGCACAATAATCAAGACTTTTATGCTAATCTTAGTTACCTCTTAATCACTAGAGTTTCAAGGTGAATCTTACTGGTGTATGAAATAGGGATTAGAGCTTCGCTGCAAATGGGATGGCATTAATGAGGTTTCTTTTATGTTAAGTCTCTTGAGCATGAAAAAGAGGTGTTGCTTTTAAGTTTAACAAAATACTCTCTGCACTGCTTCTGAATTGGGTGGGTATTGAAGAAACTGTGGGTGAGTACAGTACATTGTCTCACGGAAGATCATGTGAGCCACAAAAAGGCTGTCTCCTTTTCAGGTTTCTCTATCTAGGTTCTCTCTCTAAACGTTCTCTAGGTTTCTCTCTCTAAACCTGCCTATTTTTATTTATTTTTTTTTGGCGTTTTGGCAGCTTCTTAATGGTTCTCTCTGCATCTTGTGTCTTCTTGTGTTGGGCTGGTCATGCGTCGGTTCAGTTCAGAGTTTGATGCTCCAGTTAAGCAAAAAATTTTTGGACTTCTTATTTTTTCGAGATGACGAATATCTCCTTGTGAACTTTACCAATAGACGAAATTGACCCTAGTTCATCTATCATTTAGGGGGTGCGGCTTGTATACGGTTGCAATATTAGGTTGAAATGCTATATGTGGGTGAGAGTTACAAAGATTTATACTTATGACATCGAACGTCAGGTCACATGAGTCAGACAAGGTTACAAACAATGATGAAAAATGGAATACTTGATAAAAGGAATGGGGACTTAAAAGGTAGCATGCCTAAGGGGAAAATGGGTTAGAAATCACATAAAAAAAAGGTCGAAAGGGGTATAAGCTTTTAGAATTAGTTCATAATGATATAAGCGGACGAATGATTGTGACAACAAAAGGTCACATGAGATACTTCATCACTTTATCGATAACCACTCGAGTAAAGTTTAAGACTACATAGCGGAGGTTGAAAGCCTAGGGGGGAGTACCATTAAGAACCTTAAGGTAGGATAGGGATATAGAGTAATCTTAAAGCTTTTATGACGTTATTTACTAAACCACCATGTCCTGTTCACTTGAACAAAATGGAGAGGCCCATAAAAGAATAAGCAATTGTTGGGTGTGTTTTTAGTCACATGCATGACTAGATGGATTTTAACAAATGATCGATGGGAGAATAAGATGATCGTGACTAAAATGATATGCTTCATCTTTAAACAATTACGAGTAGTGATTTTGACGTCTTCCCTCTCCTCTTTGTCTAGCATAGTCAATGAAGCTCAACGTTGATTGTGTCCTTTCTCCCTTCTTCTTTCAACACAGCCAGTGATGCCTAGCACCGACTGCATCTTCTTTCCTTTTTTTTTTTTAACACAGTCGGTAATGTCTATCGTCGACTGTGTCTTTTTTTCTCTTCTCCTTCTAACACAGCTGGCGATGCCAAGTGAGGACTGTGTCTTTCTTTCTCTTCTTCTTCTAACACAGCCGGCGATGCCAAGCGTCGACTGTGTCTTTCTCTCTCTTTTTTTCTTAAATACAGCCTACGATGCCTAGCGCCGACTGTTTCTTTCTCCCTCCTCTCTCCTTCCTTCTCTCTTCTTTCGCATTCTTCTCTTTCTATCTCTTTCTTCCTTTCTTTCTCTCTTCTCTTCTTTATTCTCTTACTTCTTATTCGCTTTTTATGATTTCCATTCTTTTTGTTATTCTTTCGTTGATTAAGAAGGGCCGAGATTAGCCTTTCATGATAATCTTGTCGTCTAGCCATAATGTTGTTGTGCCAGAATTTTTGTGCTCGTTTTATTGCCACGACAGACTAACCATCGTGTGTAGCTAGTCAGTATCGGTATTGACATATGATAGTAATTCTGTTGAGTTGATCTGAGTTATCAAGCCTATTTTGCTACTATGTTAGGTCAATTATCCACCAGCTTAGTCATTGTGCTGATCTCCTCACTTGGTTAAATTCTTCTTTCCCCCATCTTCCTTCTCTTATTCTTCTCTTCTTCTTATGAATGTGCACGCTTGTGTACGTTCACCAAAGAGGCAATGTGAGGTCTGTTTACTCACCTGTCTTATAACATTTGTCATATATTTGCTATTGCAGAAAATAGGAGACTACAAGCCAAGGGAGGCGATTTCGAACCAATTTTACGACTGGGGGGCTTTCTTCGTGATCTAAGAGGGTCAGCCTGAGTGAGTCCCGAACCCACATTAAATTCTTCTCTCATCGGTTGGTAACACCTACTCTTGTTCTCGAACAAGGTTCTCGAGATAGCGATCTCAAAAGGTCTCGAGTCTCCCCTGAAACTTGAGATGCGTGCCGCCCGATCATCCACATCCAGAGGGCGAGATCGAGGCACCTAACCCCATACATTTTTGATAGATATGTTGAGTAGAAGTAAGTGTTCTTGTGGGTTTTTAACCTCAGTAAGAATTAAGAGTGGAAAAGAGAGTTGAGATATTCAGGACACTAGGAGAGAGATAATCGTCTCCTACGATTTACTTGAGACCTGTTCTCTTAGGAAGACCAGACCAGAAGGATAATATCCCCACGTACATCCACAAGTATTTGGGTCGATATACCCTCGATGTTATCTTTTTTCTTTTGATATGTTTGTATATTTTCTTCCTTAGAAACGAATGTATAGGTTTCAAGACCAGAATCTAAGGTGTTTGGCTTAATTTTCTTTTATTTAGCTGATGCAAATTGTAACAAAGGATTAAACCTTTGGAATTGTTTAGTGCCTAGTATAATATAAAGCTTTTGTTTCTGATATAGAATGCACGAGTGAATTTGGCCTCGAATGTGATGTCCTCTAGTTTTCTATTTGGATTCTAATGTTTGTTTAAACATTTCATTTTAAGCATTCACATTTCGGAGCATCCAAATCTCTTGCAACTCTACTAGGGAACAATTCACTTTTCATCTCTAGTTGAGTCTAGGAAGTTGAATCTCTCTCTAGGATATGTCTTGAGTCACGATCTTTTCCACATTTACTCTCTTGTCTTCTTTACTCACCCTGACGAGCGAACCCCTGCATTCATCATAGGTCCTCAGAGGTAATAATGGTTGCGGTAGTGACATCTTTCCAAGTAGGAACCATGGATGTCCCACTACACTTCTCCCCAACAAGGGGACAATCTGTCTTCAATGAAGCCACTGTTAGGCCATGTGTTATGAAGACGATGATGGCAAGAAATGAGTCCAAGCCGCGAACTTCAAAGGCTAGGACAATGCAAAAATTCCAGCCTCAAGTGGACTTAGTCCCAGGTAGTAGGTCGTTCAAGGTAATCTTGTCTTACCCTAGCAAGGGTTGATGAGCGAAAATCAATAACGGTGCCTTGGCACGTATTATCTCAAGGCAAACACGACCACCACGTCTCGTGAGGCCCATCATCCTTGCACGTAAGAAAGATATCCATGCTGCTCCTGCAAGGTTCAAGCCAGGATCCTCGCGTTTCAATCCCTCCATTTCATCACCTTCAGATTCCTGGTTCTTGCCTTTAATCATACGGGTTTTGCGCTCAGCTATTCGAGATGCTCACCAGATGGCTGTTAGGGATCCTCACGATGCTAACCGTCCAGGCCGCCATATGTTGCTCACATGTCGGGCATCTTCGCACCACTAACATGCCCGGCCCTAATAATTCTTACTTGTTGGCGATAAGGAATCCTTGTGATGCTAATCCATCCAGGCCACTGTATGCTGCCCAAATGACGACAGTTAGGCATCTTCACGACAATAACTTGCCCGACCCCAATAGCGCTACTAGTTAGCAATTAGGAATCCTCATGATGTAACCCATCTAGGCCTCTGTATGTAGCTCACATGCTGGTAGTTAAGCATCTTCGAAATGCTAACTTGCCAGGCCCCAATAATGGTCGCCGGCTGGCGGCTAGGAATCCTCGCGATGCTAATCCATCAAAACCGTTTTATGCTGCTCACATGCAGAAAGTTAGGCATCCTCGGGCTTCAGTTTCTTGCCTTTGATCATATGAGTTCCGCCCTCACTTGTCAATACAGTCTAGATGTCGGAGGTTAGATGTTCCTATGGAGCTAACTCACCCAATTCACGTGACATCCATCGACTGGCAGTTTGGAATCCTCATGATGCTAACCTTCTTAGATCGCTGTATGCAGCCCAGATGCCGACAGTTAAACGTTCTTATGGAGCTAACTCACCCAACTCACGCGACACCCATCGGCTGGCGATTGGGAATCCTCGCGATGCTAACTTGCCTAGATCGCCTTATGCAGCCCAGATGCCCGCGGTTAGACGTTCCTATGGAGCTAACTCGCTCAGTGGCTAGGAGTTCTCGCAAAGATGAGCCACCCAGGTCATCTCGTACTGTTCGTTCACAGATCACCGTAGTAGAATGGGATTTGAGGCAAGTCGATTACAAGCCTTGTTCGTGATCCCAAGGCGGAGTCCAAAAATTACACACTAGCTCATAAGGCACATTTTAAGATTGTTCTCAGGCATACGCATGGGGTTATTACCCAGTACGTCTTGGACAAAGCAAGGGAAGCCATTCAAATAGATCAATGTCGTACACGACCACTGTAAGGTCGAGACCGGAATCAATCTAGAAGGAGATCACGCACGACCTAGGAGAGGATTTTCTCGAAATTTGGTTGTGTAACAAGATCTCAGTAACCACCCAAAAGCTCGATGGAAATGAAGAAACCCCAAGGGGCCAAATTTCCATGGGTTTTGATGATGTCTAATCCCTCTCATCTGAGCTCCCACCTACTAAGCCTCTTGCAAAGAAGGCAAGCAGGGATAGGAAAGAATTATCCACCACAGCATGCGCAGTGTCTCCAAGGTGCAGAAGGATCCCCATGTACCTCTGTTCTGTTTCCTTTTCAAATTCCCCGAATTCACCGAACCAGTCTCGGATAAGCTGTCCACTAGACCTTTTGAACAAGACCATATCATAAGTGTGCTGAACATGGGAGTGGGGAACAACCCACTCGAAATTGAGGAAATGGAGCACCTAAGGGCAATATTGGCCTAGAAAGAAGCAGAGTTCCGAGCGTAGACAACCGAGCTCGAGGTGATAAGGGCCACTAGAGAGGCTCCCAATCATAGTGGCCCTTCAGGACAACAGTCATTGAATCCGGCAATGGAGAACTAATCAGACCCCGCACCTACACCGCTTCAATCTCCAGCTAATACTGCCTTAATGAAGGAGGCAGTGTGAAATTTGGTGATGGAGAAACTACAGTCACTCCATATTTTAGGGGTACAAACTCTAGACACGTATTGAAAACCATATCCAGCATATGTTGATGAAGTGTCATATCCTCCAGGGTACCAGCGCCCCAAATTCTTGAAGTTTGATGAGCAAGGTCCCCTCATCAACACTTGGCCCACTTCGTGTCTGCGTGAGCAGACTCGGCCAATAATGGGAACCTCCTGATGCGACCATTTATATAGTCACTATCGGGACTAGCTTTCGCTTAGTACTCACAACTACCTCCTAAGAACATATTTACATGGAAGAAAATGCAAGAGGCATTCTTAGCAAGGTTTCACA